GTTTTTCGATCATTTTCAAATTCCGATTCAATTTTGTTCGTATAATTAATGACCCGAGCCCAGTGTTGTCCGATGGACGCTGCAGGCGTGCGGTTGCAGCTGTGTTAAGAACAAACACAGATCTATTAGATCTAAAAAGGCAGCTGTGATGACGACGACCTGAACGAACCGGACCGGACCACCTAACCATTCATTGGGGCTTAGGTCAATTAGTGGATGACATGGGCTGACCTCATCAGGTACGCGGGGATTACAAATCCGGTCGGTTCAGCTTCACTGAGGAGGAGCGCTTTGAATCCCCGATGGGACAGGAAGTTGAAAGCTATAGAATTGATTCCGATTGGGTGAAGAAGATGCCGCCCCTTCGAGTGAATGAGATGAAAGTTGTAAAAATGAAGGTAAAAAGGGAGAGGAATTTGGTAGGAACCCTCAACGTCTGCCTAATGAATGTAAGCCTTCGACCACTTTGTACCTTCTCATCTTTGACGGTTAAGCCGCTGAAAGTCTCAGAAGCCCTCTGAGGCCTTTTACGGGCCCTCCTCGTCCTTTTAACGTGCTCAAGTAATACTTTGACCTTAAAAGCATGAACTAGTAATACTACAAATGGTGATTTGAGTAGTAAAGTTTGTTGTGGGCAGCTCAATTACCAGTATTGAGGCAAAAAACCAATTACTTCGACCATGAAAAACAATTTCTTTCACCCAGTCAAAAGATTTTAATTACTTTAGACTTGGTTGGAAGGAACAAATAGAAGGGTGGTAATTACCAGTTAAGGGACCTACTAGTGTACATGGCGCACTATGCTCCTCCAAGCTGTTCTATTGAGTTCTAGCTACAGTGTTGGTACTACTTAAAGCTTTAGGCCTATTTAAGAGAGTGGACAGGTTAGTACCCGGAGAGGGGTAGGAGTGAATTTTGGTAAGCTATGGGAGCTATGGGAGAGAAGTGGAGGTATAAGAGAAACGGTAGCTCATGCAGCCCCGTACTATACTGGTTACGGCACAACACGATAGTTACCTGCAGTAATTCAGTCATAGTAACATTATTTGGTTACGGTATTACGCCAACCATATGTAGTCAATTATCGGCACACGGAGCACCTACGACTGGAGAAGAATTAGAAGGAAGGGAAACCTCCGATAGAAAAATTGTTATTGTATACTATTTAATTATTTATAACTTATAAATTTTAAAATTTTGCAGCATTAACAGCTGTGAACATCAGAGGAGATGAAAATTTGGGGTAAAGGGGTGAGGGGTATGTGTAAGGGCACCACTCTACCGATAACCTTTGAGACCCTCCAAGGATACAGACATATAAACAAGAGGAGCTCTTTTGTAAATAAAAAAAAACAAGTAAAACAAATTCTTCCTGATCGGGGCACCATCTCAAAACTCCAGCTGACCTCTTCCACCTCTAACTGTCTCTTACTAGTAATAGTGGCAGGAACGTCTCACTGTCAAGGCTGATTAGGTGAAGTGGGGAGGGATGACTGGCTCGATGACAGTCGGGAAGGGACCTGTCAAAAATCAACGGCAATCAATTACCTCATCGATTCGATTTGATCGCTTTTATTGATTTACTGTATTGAAAAAGAGTGCTCCGTCTACTTGAAAAGTTTTTTGAACCACCCAAAGGGGAGGAGTGGAAGTGGGAGGTCGGGAACAGTCCCAGATTGTTTGTATGACCCGTGATGGTTCATATGCATCCCGGACGATCAGTTCGAAACTTAGAGAGGTCAATGAGCTAACAAACTTGGCCCTCTCCCATTCTAAGTACCACTTGTAGGTGTTCTCCTTGAAAAATATGAATATTCATAAAATTACATATTCAACTAATAAACGATCTGGTAAACGGTCATAAAGTAAATAACAAATATCGCAATGTAATGGAGAATTTACCGGGCGAAATCGCGTGATGGATCGGTCAGTGAATGAGGCCAAATTTAATCGGACTCTCCTTGTGAATACATAGGTCAGCAAAACAATTGGCTGAATTGACAGCCAGCCATTCAGCCAACCAGTCGTCATCTGCACCCATGACTCTTCGCTGTCAAAGAAAGCTGCAGACATGGCGGCCCCCAAGGGTATTCATATGCGTAACTCCCAAGCAGATTGAAAAACCCGCACCCACCCAGGAAAATGGGCGACGGACGTCATCGTAACCTGGTCGGACTCATTAGAATATGAAATTATTATAAGTGACATTGGGTATGAGGTGGGAGTGTTGTGATGGAAGAGAGCATGGCAAATTATCCGCTCAGATGCAATTCCATTGACGAAAACCTCATTAAAAGATAAACGAGAAGGGCTGACTGACTGAGCAAAGACTGACGCATAATATACACCAGAAAAAGCATTGGTATGGAAAGGGAATGAACATCGAGTAATTACGGTAGAAAAATGTCTGTTTTATTAAAACTTTTTTCATCCAACATTTCAACTAAAAAAATTACCAGGCCTTCAGAGACTGAAAAGAAAAGTCTTAGCTCTGATCAGTACAGTACTGGATAAGCCTCCTGTATGGAATCCCTTCGTAATCGTCGTAGGCTTTGAAACCCTATTTGTCTATGCAGTGGCTTGTGAGAATAAATTTGAGTAGCACTTAGCGCTGATGCTTTCGAGGCCAGTTAAAGGACCTCGAGAGATGAAAAGCTTTGACAAAATTTCGTTGGTACCGAACAGAACCCGATCCACGATCCACGCACCGTGAAGACGAAAACAGCGCTTCTAGGCACTAAACCGCTTCAACCTCATTTTTGATCGCTGAGATTTTTTTCAGTTTTATGGTAGTCAGTAGAGCTCTATCACGCACAATGGCCTTGGTTCGATACTAACTCAGACCAACCAAGCCTTCCGTTCCTCCAGGGTCGGCTACTTTGTACCAGATTCGTTTGGACTTCCATTCAGGATCGTATGGGCATTCAAAACGCCTTTACGATCCTGAATGAAAAACCAGTGCAGGGCACATCCCACAGACGGGATTGGTTATGGTCAACAAGTTTATCCTTTTCATCATACTAGAATATCTTGACTTTTTGGCCTTTTTTGCTTGATATGAATGAATAGCATTAAAATTTTACGAATTTCAAGAAAAGAAAAACAAAGTCGATTGCCTTTTTTGTTTTAAATTGTATCTAGAGGCTTTGTGATGGAGTTAAGCACCTTTCACGTCATGAACAATTTAGGGACAATTTTGATTATTTAAATTTTCAAGCAAAGATTGAATTGGACGATTCTATTGCATCTGAGCCTCGTAGGTAGATGAGTAAACACAACAACAGAAGGCTGTAACGTTGCGTCACAACGTTTTGCTTACGACAACGGTTATCGTCAAAGGTCATAAAACAGCCAAAACGGAAGGATTAATGTCGTGAACAACGGACAGGTGAGATGCAACCTCTTTATGTACTTTGAAAGCATTGAGACGAAGATAGATGAGAGGAAGACGGAGACAAAGGAGGCAGAGAAGTGGGTAAAAGGTTGGAGCTAAGGGGCTTTCAACGAGTAGGTAACCAGTATGAAAACTATTAAACAACAGTACAAGTAAAACTTGGGCAATAGAAAGGATCGAGGGACTTGACACCGAAAGGAACAAGAGGAAGGGGCGGGAGGAGAAAGTAGCAAAGGAGACAGCAACTATGTGAACGAAGTCATCGAAAGTGAGGTCAAGTGCACTAGGAAGGAGGAATGGGTGGATAAAAAATGAAAGGTAATTTTGACTGAGGACGGATTCATTCTAGGTCTTTTCAGTGCTACGGACGGAGGCGGTGCGGTGGCAAGTGACGCACTTTCACACACGTATGGTCGCGGGTTCGGATCCCGGATCGATATCCGCCTAGTTCAATCTAGCATTCCCCACATTCCTGGTCGGCTGATTGGTACCAAATCCATCTGGGAGGGTAAAGCATTGACTTGTACATTGGCTGGCCATCGTAAGCCATTGTATAGGCCACATACGCATTCGAACCGCCACTGTGATTTTGAATAAAAGTTGGAGGGAGGCTCATCTCAGGTATGGAATGGAACAATGCCCAATGAGTTCATCCTTCTATCCCTCAAAGGATCTGTATCAAATAATGAACAGTTTCGAGGAATGAGAATGCGCCATGTACATATCAGGTTCCCTCCAATGTTTTCTTCCTTGACCATAAGACATCAGTTAATCTACAACGGAGATAGACGAGGCTTAATTATTGAAGCCATAGCCGACCAATTCCAATGCAGAACACTTTCGCTACTGACTATACAAGCTATAATTACACTATATACATAGCTATTGTTCGAAATTGAGCCGAGACGTCTAACCGCGTGATATCGATTGATTACCCGGTTGAGCCATGCCCTAGGAAGACGCTTTTCTCGTAGGTAGGATGTTAGCTAGGAAAAGGAAGCTGGAGGTCCTCCAAAAATCCCCAGACCTGCAGGTTCGTCGCCTGCAAAGCATGGGAAATAAGCATAGGATCTCTTNGATGGAATGTTGACTTCCTGTACTAAATCAAAGGTGACTCCAGAAAGTCTGACAAGATGACAAAAGGAACTTGTTCCTTTCAACCTGAAACGAAATAGGACGGACATGAACGGTTGAATTCCGTTGCGGCTCATGTCAAAGAACGTTTTTTCATTAAATCGTAACGGACGTTCAACGAAGTGGAAGGGAGCGCCATTAAATTTCGGCTGAAAGTGGTGGAAAACAGCAAGTGAAACGAAGCGAATCAGGCAATTCAACGGAACAACGACGACGGATGTTTTCTTTTTGGGTGGAAAAATAGACAGAACGATCGAATGTAAAAATAAATGCCTTGGGGGTGTGAATATGAATATTTCCCGAAGTAGTTTGGTGCTGTTGAAAAAACCTATGTGCAATTGCGGTTTCGTGGTCTCCATGGGAACGGTCGTTGGTGCCCAACATCGTTCCTGCCGGGCACACTCCGACTTCTACTTCCGTCCAAAGACCTGATCCCACACCTTCGAAACTGACCTCCACAACAAGTTCAGTTATGAAGGACGAAAGCAAACCACCAAAGAAGATTCTCGTGTTGGGACCATGTAAGGTAAGTTGGATTTTGAGTAGCTACTCAAAGTGGGAATGGAGAAAGCAGCTTGTCTCCCCTAAAGGCTTGTCGGGAGTTGCCTTGATTGAATTAGTCCCTTTTTGCCGCCAGTCCATTCCCTCCCTCAAGGGGATGCCGCTTTTACTTACATGTACTCTTACTGATTACTTATGCCCAAAAAGGATGACTTTCCAGGGTTTTAGCACATTTTTCTATGTGGGTAATACGTGTTGGCCAACTACTGTCGGGATCAGCCACCTAGATGACTTCCATCCGAAATCTTGGTGGCTTCTGAGGGTACATTTGGCCTATACAATGACAAATGGGGCTGCACGATGCCAGGTCAATGCTTTCATCCTCCCACGCGGGATTCCGGCCGATTGTTCGGTGCAGGAAGGTTTGGTTGGTCGCTATCGATTCCGATCCAGGTTTTCATTCCGATTTATGGGCGTAGTGGGAGCCAGTGTTCCAAACCTCTTGCATAGAATCTTTGATAGACCCAATCCTTACTTCGCTCAGGTTTTGTCCTTTGTGGCCCGTTGCCCTGACCTAAGTCGTTCCTAGGTAGGTCCCTTTGGGAACCTATCTAATATTAACCTCTGAATAGGGATTTCTTTTAAATACAACTTTTTTATCTTTATTTGAGTCAGAATAGCAACCGATGAAAGGACTTTCAGTCTGGAAAAACAGCAATCTCGAACTATTTGGGCGAGCAGGTCGACATCGAATCCCTTGGAGAATATCGGCCGACGAAAGGTTGGTAGAGGTAGTTATCGAGGCAATTGTTCCGTCCAATTTTTCCNGCGTTCTCGTCTAGCTATCAGATTACCTTTTAATAGGATTTTCTCCCAGACGGGTTTCTTCTGCATAGGAAATACTTCATTCAGCTTTCCGAACTTTGTGGGGCACTTTCTGGACACTTCTAGGAAGTAACTTTGCCTACTGTAGGTGGGGTAGTCAATCACCTGATCACTTAAATAAGGCCCCAGCGAGTCCTTGATGGCTCAGGTGAGTATACCCAACTTGTCTAAGTGGATATGGTAATCAACAAACCGAGGTTCTACCGATCGGTCCACCGGATCTCTCCTTATCTCCTCTCCCCTTTAATTTTTATGGCCCTGCCACAAGAAAGTCGGCCACCCCATTGGCTTTACTGCTTATCTACTGCTATTAAAATCAAATTTATTTCATTCATCATCATTCCCGAATCCTAATAAACAAGTCTTCAAAAATTAAATGGGAGGTCCTTATTGCTGCTATGACAAGTATCAGGACATCTTGAGTGGTGATTGTTTGTGCTTGGCTGGTCAACGAAGCCAATCATCCGTCGTCTTTGGATCGTATTAATGAGCCTACCCTCACCGGAAACCCCCTCCTCCGGCCACTAATGCGAGTAATGAACGACGAATTGACCACCACCACCATCCGTTGCCTCCGCCGACGTCGTCGTCCTCTCTTTGTTAGTAGGCAGCGCGCGAGTGCAACAAATTTATTCGTAGAACTCGGACCACTAAGTAGACAACAAAGAGCAGTAGCATAGGGGGATCAACTCTGAAGCGATCCCTTAATTTCTTTACTAGGGCTCACCTGAGTACTTAGGTTTGGACAGAACAGTAGGCAGATGAGCATGGGCCCTTGTGACCAGTGGTTTGAAAAAATTGAGAGAAGAAAGGATGAGTTACTAATGAGGGAACTTTTCAGAAGGGAATCCTTGGCAAATCCCGACGAGCTCCCACATTGAAGAAAAATTCTTACTAGTGCTAGGGCAAATAAAAAAAAATCCCCACCCAATCTCTACCAGTAGGGAGACAGAGAAGACAGAAATTGCAGACATACAAGAAAATAATTTTTTGAGTAACACAATTCGGTAAAATATTGTTTTCTTTTCCAAAAAGGGAAGTGATGGAGGAAAGGATGGATGGATGAGTGGATGGGAATAGAATTGATTGAAAGGAAGGTAGTGGAATATTAGAGTTTTCTTTGCCATACCAGACGAACTGAAGGAACTCCCTCAACCCCAGCATTTTTTTCTGAATTCATTTTTACTAGTTTTTGAGCAACAGTATGACGACAGAAATCTTATAGCTCCTAGGGAAAGACATGAATAGCCTTTTAGTGAGTTCAATAGTGCAAAATCAGTGAGTAGGACAGCTCTACCAGTGGGATTCGGTATTTCTCAAGTTTTTATGCAGTAAAAATTTTAGAAATGCCAAGGTGTTGGCAATTAAGGGTGCTTCCCACTGATATTCGATGGCCTCTAGAGATAAGTTTTCAAAAAGATTTCATAGAAATTTGGAGAGAAGAAAAGGCGGACTAATTCTTGCACATTCTACAGCAATGGCTATGGTTCTCAGAGCGGAAAAACTAATTGAATCTTTCAAGCCACTGGCTTATAAGCATCCAGAGAGGGAGGAAGGCTGGCAAAGTATGGTCGCCAAAGTTGATCTGCTATAAAAATATTTTTTAAAAAAATTTTCTGAATGTTGAAATGCGCAGCGTACGTACGCACATCGATGAAATTCAAAAGCTCGATTCAATTCTTCTTTTAAAATTTTCAAATATTCTCAAAAAAATCACTGATTCGTAGCGGAATCTGCGGGCACAGCCGCAGGACTCTTGAGCTCTCTAATAATTTTTTATCTTTGATTTCCTTTAATTTTCTAAATTTAAGCTGGAAATTTATGACCTGAACTGAGCTACTGCTATTGAATTACAAATATAAAAACATTTAATATATAAAAGTAGCCGATTAGTACAACCCCTGAGTAATTGTTAATCAGTTGCTGTGAATTTCAGGAGTCCGAATAGTAGAGTTCGAAAGTCACGAGTTGGATATTCGTCGACAAAGAATCGAAGTCGATGTGGAGCTATGGGATTGTAGCGGAGATCTGAAGTGAGTGATCACGACTAAGCGAGAATAAATGGGCATATGACGACCTCATAACTCATCATCGCCCCCATTCCAACCGTTATCTGCCCCAAACGACCTGTCATTGAGCCCAGGAATTCATTGGGAAATCATTATTTATCTACTACCTCATTCTTTGAATACCGTACTTGAAGGTGGAGTTTTGATGAGAACGGGGAAAGTTCATTCCAAAAAGTCTGAAAAAAGGGGACCAGCCAAAGGATATGATGGTTCGTTTCAATATCATTAGTTCCTGGAGGGATTTTGGTAAAAAATCAAAAAACTTCAAAAAGCGGATAAGCTATCCCCAGGTTGCCCCAGATTGAACCTAAACAGCCCATTTTTTGGACATCTCATGGGAGTTTTGTATCCTACCCGAAAATCGCTTAGCTAATGGCCAGTAATTATGACGCCAATGGTCTTAGGGGAAATGGTCGCAACTAATTAGATGACCCCGAAATCAAAACAAAAGAATCGCCATTATCCTTCTCTGCAGGTACCGCGACTGCTGGCCAGCCATAAGGGATGGCATTGAAGGAGTGATACTGGTAGCCAATCCAGATGAGAATACAGGTGAAGATTTGAAGATATGGTGAGTCAAACGCGAGATTTCGCCACACCCGAAGGCTGTACATGACAGCCGGATAATGACTGGTTTTTTTTTCTTTCCCCAAAAATCCATCAAAATCGGCCTGAAATCAATTTCCCCCTGGAATTGGCAGAAATTGGTTCTAAAAACACCTTCCAAGATATGTTGACTCATTGGCCGCTGAAATCCTGACCACATCCAGACTACAAGCTTTTCCTGGCAAGAGTGGCATAACTTGGTACCATTTAGGAGTCATAGAAATTTAGATAGTGCCTAAATATGAGATTTAAGCGGTGGAAGGCATGGTGAGGTAGGCCTTCGAAGTGTTTTGAGCACCCGCTTGCTTGAAGAGAGCTGGGTTCGAGTGTGGGTGGAGTTAACCCATCTCAAACATCATGTAGTGATCAGGAGGTATGTTCTTCCTCCTTTATCCACAGAACTGGCCAAAACAGTCGAATTAGTTACTCGGTAGGATAATTCGAACCTATCATTAAGGCAGGACTTCTCTAGTAGCTAGAAGTGCAGAGTAAACACAACTGCTTGCGGGTTCATTACCTGACCAGGACCAAAGCGGATTAACAAAATATTGCTAGAATAGTATCAATAGCAACTTCTAGAAGGAGATGGCAGGACGACTGAGTAATGGAAATGGTTCCAAACGATCACGAAAGTCGATTAAAAATACATCAAATTCATCACTAAAGTAGAACATGCTGAATTCCTGATTTTACGCTCTCAAACACAATAAGGACGATGGATAGCAAAAGAAAAGAGATTAGGGTCACCGTGAGTTGCCCCCGGAGAGGACTTTGGTCCAAAATTAACCAGCCTCGATGGATAGGAAGACATTTATCTTCAACAATAAAATCATCTGTTGTCAAGAATCCCTGTACCAGTAGAAACTACCCTTTCGGGATGCCGTGAAGTTGAGTGGTCCAGGACCTGTCCGCAACTGATTTGCAAGTAAAGCAAATGCTGTTTTCCATGAGATGGTTTGGGCGCGGTAGTAACAATGTCTGTGACCACAGGGAGGGGATGGGTGTGTGCTCCTCATAGGTAACACTTTACTAGAGAAAAACCATAAGGAAATTTGGACGAACACCGGTCCAATACCCAGCAATGTTTTCTTAACTATAAATTGAGGTAGTATTTTTTCTAGTTTGGATGAACTTCTTCAACGTAACGTCTGGGATGGTGGCGTAGCGAGGCCGATTGGAGTGGCTTTCACCCGTAAACACCAAATCCAAGATCGATACCCGTCATGACCGACCTGGTCTTCCATCTCATATGAGCAGATTAATTAGTATCAATTTCGTTTGGTAGTAGATTGTGCAACATCTGGTTAATGGTAGGTGCCAGAGCATTGTCCTCTACCCTTCTATTGTTCTACCCTAGAGACCCCTTCCTTCCACTAACTTTCAGAGGGCTTAAAGGTAAAAAAGCGAGCTATTCGAGGATACACCCTATTGACATTCTTCCTTAACTCCCTTCAACCTAACTGAGAGAAATTGTTATCGATCATCAACCTCTATTTTCGGGCGGATAAATTGCCCCACAGATGAGTTACCAGCCAGAGTTGTGACTATCAGGGCTGCACATCCCCCCATTTATGCCCTAAAGTCCCCCTTCATAGAAATGGGGCTCCCGTACCGACGCCCTGATGGGATATTATCATGGTAATGCCTTAATTTCCAATGACAAAGAAATTAGTAGGAAAATTAGATTGTTGAATCAAAACGCTAGAAATTCCTATTCTTTGAGGTTGAACAAAAGGGAAAGGGCATGAGACCTTTTGGAACAACTGAGCATTGAATACAAATTAACTATGGGACTCAGTTAATGAGTTTCAGAAAAATTCGGGGGAGAAAACCCTTCCAGAAGTCAGAAAAAGCCGAAAAGAGGCTAAATAAGCAACTGGGAGGTCTGGAATGATCCCGAGGAGGATTATCCGAACCAGTCCCAGTAGTCGAGGTGGAGGAGAGGTGAATAGAAAGGGAGAGGTTTGCGGATGACATCTAATATGACGCCGTTGACAAGGCGTTTTGATGGCCCGCGAGGAGAGAGGGTGCCGAGAGGGGCTCAGACGAGGCCAATATCAGATCGAAATGACACCTTATTGCAATCGGCCTCCGTTTGCCATACACAGACGGACGGCCATATAATGTGGCATGGAGAATTTGCTCGTCTTAGCCCCGTTACCAATACCGATTAGACCCCGAGAATTCGGACATCCAATGTGTTATGCACGAACGGAGGGATACCCCACCTCACAAAGCCTCAACTATAGCTTCTGACGGAGAAAAGAGGTAAAGAAGAGAGAAATGCGGTAAATAGTGGTAAAAATATATCCTGATAGAGATTGTTGGCCTATGAAACGAAGAGAAAATCGCTCTGTCGGAAGGCACGGTACCTCGTGCTACCCTTCCGCAATCGGAGTTTAACTTCTCCTTGTACTCCCGGTTACCTACAACTTTTTAGCCGAACAAATGACACTGCCATTTCGGGATTCAGGTATGTTTTTGAATTCAGGGAGCAAAGAGAATGACCCATCTCATGGATAAAAGGCAAGTGTGGGAAGCAAATTCAGTCTAGGTGATTTCTGAAGTATTGTTGTCCTCTCTGAGCGATTGAACAGACGCTTAGTATGACAGCTGGCAGTTGCCTCAATCCCATTGGTAGATATCTCCCCGTGTAGAACTATTTCCAAAGGGGAGAAACCTTGAATGGGAAGATAAAGTGATAAAAATGACACCGCCTGGCCATGCATTTGGGGAGTTCCTTCTGAGTTGGACTCAGGCATCGAATCAGGGATCGAAGCTCGCTCAACTAAACGTATGTGCCACATATGCATTAAAAACACCGCCATGATTCTGAATAGAAGTCGAATGCAGGGCGCAATGCAGAAAAGAAATTGCTTTGCTGAGGGCGAACGCTATATTCTTCACCCTTTGATTCCAGTTACATAAAATATAAAAAATACAAGTATGCCGCTGTAGTGTCGCTGCATTCGTACTCTCTGAAACGAGGCTCTCCTCGGTGGAGAAGAAATAGCATGTAATGACGGACCAGAATAGCTCAGGGATTATGGGCCGCAATGAAAATGCACTGAAATTAGCTGCACTCTGGCTGAAACAGCATCGGAGGCACTCTAACGACCACAGAGTGATCCTTGCGGAAACAATTCTTCATCACTTTACATTATCAGTGCCAATGAGCAGATGAGGGAAGCAGGGATTTCGTTACTGCAAGGGATAAGGAGTATGGTGCTATAGAGCCACAAGAATGGGCCCGAATGAATCCGAAGTTCTGCAATAAATCTCAGAAACCTCGTGATAATCGGAAGTAGCCTGTCATCTTCGTTACAGAGCCAACTTGGTAAGGTTGCATCAAGGAGTTCATCCATCTGCAGGGCAAAAGAACCGGAAGTCCAGGTTCAATCCAAAATTTTCAACGATTGCAAGAGGGAATCGAAAGCAATGACGCATCCTACACGGAAAATTGGTATACCCTCAATGGGAGATGGCTCTCAAAAGTAGATGTACTATTACAATTTTCAAGGAAAAAGGAGAACAGCCAAGGTATTCAATTTATCGCATTCCAGTTCACCCTGAAATCTGCATGGGTTACCTGTAAAAACAACTCATTTCTGATTCTCCTCGCGTTTTTCTCCTACGTCCCTACTAAATATGCGATCATGCAAACCGCGGTAGACTATGTTAGTTATTTACCTATTACTTTACAGTTATTTTCCTACTACTCTACTGAATGGGACCAAATACGTCTTCAGAGATGAAAGCCTACAAGGTACACCTATCGAATCTCCCTTATCGCCCCTTAGAGGGTCAAGTACACACCAGACTGAATCGAAAAATCTAAGCGGAAGTCGAAAGTGCGGTAATGGAGGGTAATTAGGTTCAGTAAGGATAGCCGACAGCTACGATAGTAGTAGTTCCCCCAGTAATTGCTCCAAATATATGGATGCCGTTGAAGAACCGCTACTCTATGGAAATGCAAATCTAACTAATCATTTACTTTGCAAAACAGTTAATGAGTAGTCTAGTCTAAATCTGAATGCTTCACTACTCGCTAGCTTGCTTCCTTCTGAAGCAAAAGGGGCTGCGCATAGTAAAACATGGACGTGTTGGTGATGGGACGGCAGTAATAGTTTCTTCCTTTATTTTATTTATATATTTATTTATGTTTCTTCGCTCACTTCTTATTTTCTAACTACCCGTTTCGCTAAAGGGTCAAGTTATCCACTGGCTTTTCTCAATTTTCGTGGGACTCACACCACCTGACCTAACCAACAATAAGCTGGGATTTCACAAACGACTATTCGATCGGTTTACAATTCTAAAATGGCTTCGACTTTGGCTTGGCGTAGGTAATCCCAGAACGGGATTGATTATCATCATAGAACTTATTTTCAAAAAGGAAATGTGAAGAACAATTCTAACTGGCCTTGAGACCATCTGAACTCCGAGAGCTCAAAAGATTGAGCCTTTTTGGGCACCACCCGATCATTGCCAGCAAGATTAATTCTACATGAACAGCTTTTCGTCTCGCCATTGGAAGCTGTAGCCACATTTTGCCGGCCGATTCATTCAAAGTCTCTTCAATAGGAGAAAATCAAGTGTGATGAGCCAAAAATAACCTCAGTTTCGTTCTCTCAGAATTTTCATTTTCAGGTTACCCCCACAACTATCGTCAGCCGTCTGTGCAGCTTGTAATTTGATTCACGAAGGCGATCAACTAAGATTAGATTTCAATCAATTTCTTGTCACAATCATTGCCAAATCAGAAGTACCGTATGATATGTGATCAATAAATCGATTAATCATCTATGTGCACTATGTAAATTCACAGTCCTGTATTGTGCTACTGTATAGATAATCAAATTCCAATTTCCCTTGAACATTGCATAGATAATACAACTTTTAAGGTTTTTTTTAATGTTCGTGGCTAACAATGAATTAAAATCAGTCTCCGTTTGGAATTTAATTTATTCATCTAATTTTAGTTAAATTAAACCACGAAATTGAATTTCCCTTTTTTATCTCAAAAAAAAAACAGATGATTTCCCAAAAAAGAGAATAACAAAGGTTACATTCAGCATGGAGAGTCATACGGACCTTCACGAAACAGGTGTACTTATAAGCGGAGGGAGGAGTACGGTAAAATGTTTTTTAAAAGACGACTAAAATTTATGGTGAAAACAGATAAGCTCGTTACGATTATCTACGCTAATCTACGATAAAATCTTTACATATGGCGCATCCCAGAGAAATAAATTGACGCCAATCTTTTTTTATGTTACTCGTTAGCCGGTACCGCTTAGCGTTACTTTTACTCGAGTTTTTTGCCCTTTGGGGCATCAACGGTAACACGTGATACCTAGTGATCTCCCATGATACCTCATGATCTTACGTAGTACTTGGTGATCTTCTTGAAAAAAAGGCACACCTAAAAAGATACCGCCCTTTTGAAGTTTTTCTATTTCTAGTTTTAAAGGTCCTCTGTGACTAATCCTAAAGCAAATAAGCGATTGAAAAACGAATGTAATGACACACATCCATGTCAAACTCGAAGTACATAATATCTTCCTGCCTAATACTACTCAGAATTAATTGGCTTCAACAGCTAATAAAGTTCGCTCAAGGAGCTCGCGTGCCTCACATCCATTACACAGTTCAGTGAGCAAATGGGTCTTCGTTCGCTTTGCATTTGTAGCCACGATAGCCCCCGTCCACAACCAGGCTAAAGGTGGGCTGCCTCAAGTGGTTTTTTTCGACGGAAACGAAAAAAAGACTGCTGAGGAAAAGTACAATTCTCATCAATCAGCTACAATGAGCTACCACTCTAGAAATTGAGCAGCTGTTTAGTTCTGTGGTGTTCTGTGGTGTTTTGTTTGCCCCAAAACACTTTTTTTAATAAATGGCTGCAACTAGGGGTTGAAAAACTTGGTGGCTTTTCAACCTCTCTAAGCCATTCTGCCGAAGAAACCTAACAACGGCTTCCTCTCCTTCTCCCAAGAAGGGCGGGATTCCCTGCAGTAGTGAAGCCCTTTACATTCTTGCTGTCCTCTGCTGCAATGTCAAGCCCTTTTCGGTCCTTTTTGGAGGGGATGCAGCAACTCGAACCCAAGACGGCACCCGGGGCTCTTTCTTCAGCAGCAGGGACCCAACTCGATATTATTGCTCACGAATCCGCACTTCGGGCCACTTCGCCACTCCTCTTCACCCTGTACCCTTTTTACAGACCATCGTTCCTCCGATAAAAACGATTGTTGGGTAAAGGACTGAAATGCAAAAGTAGTCTGTACCTGAAATCTGAAAGTGGATCAGCAAATGAACGATATCCTCCCATGACTGGAAGCCCAGTAAATCAACGATCCCTAATCCGAAAATCCCTAGCATTCCCCCTCCCCTGCGCTCAAACATTCAACGGTCTGCTAACCTTCTAGAGAGACGAATTAATTAGTTAAATGTGTGTGGGTGTAGCGTATTGACTACAGTATAACGGCTACAGTATGCCTGAGTATTGTTACTACCATGTGGTATACTTTGATTTTCTTGAACCTCTAATCGCTATGTATGTTAGCGAACGTTTCAGGAAAGGAGGCTCCCTTCCTCCTAATCACCCTCATACAACTCTTGATCAGGCCTCAAACTCTCAGAGTTATTGCTTCCACCTGCCCTTTGACGATTATCACCACTTCAGCAAAGGTGAAATCGATGGAAACCTCAATTTAATTCAGCACTAATCAGCCCTCGCACAGCGCGGTAGCTGGTTTGTAATCCGTTTATACCACGATAGAGTAAAATAGAGAACTGGTACCCATGGATGAAAATCATATAAAAAAGCAAAAAAAAATCTGGAAGCACAGCACAACAATAGGACATCAGGAAAGAGTGGATGATTTGAAAATACGACTGAAATTCGGTTCATTTCCTGGTAGATGACATATTGTTTGCTTAAATTGATAATTTCCAAAGTTCATTATGGTTTGAATCATTTAGGAAATTAGCAAATAATTGACCTGCAAGTTATACTTAATTTACGGGCGCACTTAAATATTAATCATTTACTTATTTACTTAAGTGTAGTTCAGCATCCCCTAATATTTTACTAAAAGAGCATCAAAAATTGACCATCTTACTTCGGCGGATTTGAGGTATTTCCCCTTACAACAAGGAACAAGCTCAACGACATTTACTGGAGGTTAGATAGTCATTCATAAGCAGAACGAAGGGCATAGTGGAAGTTAGTTGTTCCCGCTTCAGGATAGGCCATGCCTTATAGTTCGCCTCTGATTAGTAGCGGCGTATCGGGACTATTCGGCCTATACAATGACTTTGTGAGTCGTTCAATGTAAAAATCGGTGCTCCTACTGAGTAGACATTATTCCAATACCACCAACGATCTCTGAGTGTGGGAGGCCTCATAGAATTTCACCACCGGACCATGTGGGAGGGGGAGTGGGGGCTGCGCTCTTAGCCGTGCCCAATCATCACCATTGCTAATGAGAAATGAACAAAACACAACAAACACTGTTCATGGAATACTAGTAACTTTAAAATGTGACGGGCAAGCGCGAACGAGGACAAAGTAGTTCCCAAAGTGGGCGGAACGCGCAATGAGCCATGGTCGTCGCCATTGAGTGGGATGGAGATAGGGATCATTGACGACACGCGGGTAGGCTGTCTGAAATGGGCTCCATGAATCAGGTAGCTACGATATCTATCTGGCGCGGTAGAACTCGTATAGATGTTAGCGATAGTGAACTTCAGATGGGTGAAAAACTGCGGCACTTGAAAACAACCCCTTTCAAGATGCCGCCTTTTCAGTTTATTTACAAATACTTTTCAGTTCAATTATAATTACGACCTTCGAAGGCCTCCCTGTCGAATAGGGAACTCTCAATTCGTACGTAGGTATTCTGCTCAACGGAAATACTCAGCAGACTTGTTTGCTCCGATGCTTTGGACGAGCCAATCCATCATGGCCAATTGAAATGCATGTACTGGCATGAGAATCCATCATCCGCAGTCGTCCGCCGCCTCTGAAGGGCATCGAGAACGTAAGATACACCCCCTGGGCTCAAAGAAGACGCCAGGAAGGGCTTTTCTGAGCAGGTATCGGTGACGGGTAAGACCCTTTATGCCCCTTTATACAAACCAGTAAAGTGATTAGTACCTACTCCCTTCATTGCAACCATCTTAAAAAGGAAGAGAGCGAAAAGCAGGATAAGGTGACTGATTGCCTGGCTTCCAGAAACACAGACGACTAGGCTCCTTAAATGTCCAAAATATGGGACGGACATAGGAAACGGAAGCGGCTTTGTTGTCGCCTCGCCGACCCACCGCTTGTGGCCAATTAATCTTGGGTCTTTTCGTTAACATTTCAAACTCGGAAGGAAGGGACCAGGAAATTCTTGCATGGGTTTCGTAACTACGGAGTTTTGGTCGTACCTACCACTAGCTAGTTTATGCTTTGGCCCTTCTGTTCCCCTTATATCGAGCATGCCTCCATCAAGTCAGACTTAATGCGGTGTAACTTATGACTTTTAGATCCATTAAAAGGCACACATTTACGGTGATTATGAGGCATCTGCCTGTTGAGGTTGATTTTTTAGCAGTAAGGCTACCAAGATGTAGTAAAATTGGGTGGCTGTACGAGATTATGATAGCACAAACTTGTCGAAAACTCTCATCACAACTAGTTGTTTGGATTTTGACCATGTGTACTTCAAGGCGAACGATGCAGCTTTTATTGGGCGTCTTAAATACGGCCACCCCAGTTGTTAACTTTTGTACAGACAATTTTTCGGCCTTCTTCCGACGTGACAGCGTCACGTATGACGGTATATGTACTTGTGAGCCTCATGCTCATCCTAGAAAAAAATCTCCGAGATCAACTCAGCAGTATAGTGTCCTTCACACCTTCACATATGCATTTGGTAAGTTCAGAATTGAGGCCACGACGCTCTCCCACAACCTTTCCATGTCAAAGGCAACAGTGCGCAGAGGATCGATGTTGAACAATGCATTTTAAATAGACCTTACTTTCCAATCCCATTCAAACCGTAGGAGGAATACTATACTCCGAACCTAATTGCTGTAGCTTGGTGGAGTTTCTGATTTTCACCTATTTTCGACCAAAATCTTTCAGGGGAAGTACAGAGATCTCTCACTCTGAAGGCGTCTTCTCCCTCTATGGGGCGGTGAATCGGCAAATCCAAAGTGAATCGAGAAATTAAGCTTTCAAAGAATAAAATTTTCAATTACAAGAAATTGGAACCAAATTGAAGTGAGTTCGGGCTTCTACAGTAAACGGTGCGGAAAGTTATTCTAACTATGGTTTGATCAGCTCCTGTTCACTAGGGAGATTTTGGATGGTCTGGTTGGGAGAAGATTATCGACGCATACCCTACCCAAAGTCCTGATTTACTGCGGTATAAATTTGCATCGTCAAGGTGGTAACATCAGCTTACTCGAAAGTAATTTCTCTCCTAAAAGAAGTAACCTCATTTTTATTCCCCGTTCCTCTCATTCTTTTCTTTTTTGCTTTCGTCTTTCATTCATTTCACGTTCGCATACCGTTTTCCCACCGTTATCGTGATACGGTAATTTATCAATTCATTCGTATAAATCGATACCGATTGACCTGTACGATACGTCAAAGTTCTTTTCTTCAAAAACGTTCACGTCCTTGGTGGAGGGTGGTCGCCTGCTGTGAGGTACAAGAAGAGGAAATTTTACGGCTGATTCTTTTTGTTTGATGTAGGTCTATGGAAATTCTTTCACACACCTAATGTTATG